GAGTGTGCCCCGAGGGAGGCCGGGCGGCCTGGGCTCGGGCCGGCAGGGCCTCGGGTTCCCGGGACCCTAGCCCGCGGGCAAAAGAACGCGGAGGCTGGAGCTGCCGCCGATGGGGGGTGGGCGTTTTACTCATTCCGACGACCAGGATTCAAGTTCTGGTGCCGCCCTCCGCGCTAGGTGACGTGGGGCAGTCGGGTCAAGGCCCCGTTTCTTCTTCTATAAAGCGGAGGTGATGAGTGTCTGCCTCCCAAGGTGGTGGGGTTGGGATAGAAATGCGGTCAAGCGCCCAGCACACATCATCTGCCACCGGAGTAGGTGCTGGGTACACACTGGTTCCCTGCCTCCAGCCGGTCCTGGAAAGGTGGGGTCGGGGCTTTTGAGGCAGGAATCTCTCCCTGAGCTTCTCTTCCCTGGCAGGGCCTTCCAACCACGGCCCGCCCCGATCAATCGCAAGGGGGAGAAGTGGTGAAAATACCTGAGAAGCAGGGCTGTCTGGGTTCAACTTCATACTCACCCTCCACCTTCACCCCAGTGTCACGGACTTCGGTGACACCTGCTCCCTTGGTCCCCACAGAATCCTTGGAACATTATGATAAAGCACCGGCAGGTGCAGCGAAGGGGCCGCCGCTCACAGATGACCACCAGGTGAGGCTGGCTCTGGACGGGACTTGCCTCCCAGGCACTGTCCTGGAAGGCAGCTTTGGGGCCCTAGTTGGGGAGGGCTGAGAAGAGATCGTCATGCAGTAGAAAGAGCCCTGGGCTAGAAAAGAGGAGACTCGGGTTCTGTGGCTCTGTGTGACCTTGAGCAAGTCACTTCCCCCTCTGAATTCCTCCTCAAAATGAGGGGACCGGAGAGATGAAACAATGCCTAAGCCCAGCTGGGTGGCTCAGTGGGTGAGCGTCAACCCATGAACCAGTAGATCACAGTTCAATTCCTGGTCAGGGCACATGAAGGGGGGGGCGGGGGGGGGAGGGATTTGCTGGCTCGATCTCCAGTAGGGGGCGTGCTAGAGGCAACCAATCAATGATTCTCTCTCATCATTTATGTTTCTATCCTCTCCCTCTCCTTCTCTCTGAAATCAATAAAAACATATTTTTTTCAAAGTGTGGCTAATAGCCCTGACCAGTTTGGCTCAGTGGCTAGAGCGTCAGCCTGTGGACTGAAGGGTCCCAGGTTCGATTTCCGTGAAGGTCAAGTACCTTGGTTGTGGGCACATCCCCAGTAGGGGGTGTTCAGGAGGCGGCTGATGGATGTTTCTCTCTCATGGATGTTTCTAACTCTCTAGCCCTCTACCTTCCTCTCTGTAAAAAATCAATTAAAAAAAAAAAGTAAAACTAAATAATTACTTAAAAAAAAATAGTGTGGCTAATAGTATCCATAGGGTACTATTACCCTGTGGTAATAGGGTAATAATTAATAAAAATTGTTATCATTAAATAGATAATAAGAAGGACAGGAGAGAGCACAAGATGGGCCTTTGAAATGCTGATTATATTTTTTTACCTGGATAGTGATTACATGGATGTTCACTAACACTATTTGTTAATGTGTATAGACTTTTCCATATAAGTATTATACAGTATTTCATAACACTTTTAAGTTATGAGATGAGATGAAGGCATGCATCTATGTAGTTTACAGAGAACTTGGGCACATAGCTAGTTTTCAGTAAAAACTATCCATTATTGTCATTAAAGGATCCTATGTCAATAACTAGCTGGGCAGACTAAGAAAGGATGTGTTTGGGATATGTCCCCTGACTGTGCCTCCCTCCTGAATGCAGTTTCACAGATCCTGCTATCTCCATGGACCTGCTCCGAGCTGTGCTGCAGCCTAGCATCAACGAGGAGATCCAGACTGTGTTCAACAAGTACATGAAGGTGAGGGGACACAAAAGTAGAACATTAAACAGGAGAAAGACTCATGAGCAGTCTTTTCCTGCTTCACTATCTCCCTGGCTCTCTCTGGTACACACAGATCTCTAGAGTTTTCCCATTCTGAACCCCCGAGAACTATTTTCTCTCTTTAGGGGTAATTTGAACACCTCTTTGGCCAAGCTATTGTGAGGAGGAAATGACTTAAGTGTAATGTGCTCAGAACTGTGCTTGGAACGTAACAGGTTGCTTTTATTATTTGTTTAATAATATCACCATTATTATTATTTAAATTCTTTTTCACCCTAACCAGTTTGGCTCAGTGGATAGAGCATCAGCCTGCTGACCAAAGAGTCCCAGGTTCAGTTCTGGTCATGGGCATGTACCTCGGTTGCTGGCTCCTTCCTGGCCCAGACCCTGGTTGGGGCTCGTGCAGGATGTGTTTCTCTCTCATCGGTGTTTCTCTCTGTCTTTCCCTCTCTTCTACTCTCCCTAAAAATCAATGGAAAAATATCCTCGGGTGAGGATTAACAACAACAAAATTATTTTCTAGGACCATAAATAAAGTTCTACATGATTCTACCTGAATGCCTCTCAGATGCTTCAAACCCAGCATATTCAGAACTGAACTCTGTTTTTCTTTCTAGACCTCCCCACTCTTACATTTACTCATTCATTCAGGAAGTATTTACTAAGCATCTCCCATAATGGCAGACACTATTCTAGGCACTGGGGATGTAGCAGTGAACAATATGGACAATGTCCTTGCCCTCTTTTAGCAAATTTGTACCTTGTTAGGGAATGCCAGAGAGAAGGGGAAGAGAGCGACCAATGGGGAACAGAGGTGCTATTTCGTAGAATGTGACAGGGAAAGTCCTATGATAAAAGGTCATTTAAGCAGAGATTTGAATAACGTGAGGAAAGAACAAGCCATGCAGAAACGTGGGAGAGAAGCCATCTCCGCCGAGGGAACAGGCCAGAGGCCCTGAGACAGGACTGTACCTGGCACATTGAAAGCACCCAAGTGGCAAGTGTGACCGGAACAGACTGAGCCAGGGGAGAGTAGTAGGAGAGGTGATCAGAGACATAACAGGGGCCCAGCTCATGCAGAACCTTGAAGCCATTGTAAGGACTTTGTGATTTATTATGAGTAAAATAAAGCTCTTGGAGAGTTTTGAGCAGAGCATGTGATCTGAAAATTTTTTAAAGAGTTACTCTGACTGTTGTGTAGAGAATATACTGCAGGGGGACCAGTTAGGAGACTTGACATGATAGTGGCTTGAGTGTTAGCTATGTGGCCTCTTAGCATGTTTTTCTCCACTGGAATCACTGAGTAAAGAAAGGGTAACCAGCCCAAATGGTGTGGCTCAGTGGTAGAGCATCGACCTAGGAACCAAGAGGTCGTGGTTCGATTCCCAGTCAGGGCACATCCCCAGGTTCTGAGCTCAGTCCCCAGCAGGAGGCAGTCGATAGATGATTCTCTCTCATCATTGATGTTTCTATCTCTCTCTCTCTCCCTCTCCCTTCCTCTCTGAAATCATTACAAATAATAAATAAATACATACGTGCATGCATGCATCTATATGTATAAAAAGCCAGTGACCAGAACGACCAGTCGCTATGATGCCCACTGCAGCCAGCCAACTGGCCCAATTCGGGGCCGGGCCCCCTGGCCAACCTCCCACTGCCCCTCCCCCCAGCTGGCCCCATCCCCCATTGGCCCACCCCACCCCAGTTGGGGGTGGGGCTGGCTAGCACACTGTCCGAGGCCCTTTCCCCAAGCCATCCCCATCCCCAATCGCCCCACCCTCACCCCAGCCAGGCCAGCCCCCATGGGGCCCTGATTGGGGATGGGGCCAGCAGCCAACCTCCTACGGCCCCTCCCCCTGCCCGGCCAGCCCCCGATGGCCCCAATTGGGGGGTGGGCAAGCCTGCCAGCCAACCTCCCATGGTCCCTCCCCCCAGCTGGCCAGCCCCCCCCCACCATAGGCCTCAATCACCGGGCAGGCCGAGGGACCCCCCACCTGGGCACGAATTTGTGCACTGGGCCTCTAGTACATAAATAAAATCCCTCAGTGACTTTGCACTGTCTCTGGGTAAAATTCAAATTCCTTATGGCATATATGGCCCAAAGTGATCAGACCCCAGCCACACACTCCTTATTCCCTGTCATTACTATCACTACTTTTTGTATGTCCCAGAATGCACCATGTATTCTCATACCTCCACACTTTTACACATGCAAAAATAATGAAGCCAGTAAGGGAAGGCTAGGCCAGGATTTAATCTGTGATTGCCTGCCTCCAAAGCCCTTTTCTTGTTGCTTATCCGAGTAATGGATACCATGATTCAGGAACCTTCTCCCCTGGACAAATGCTGGATGAATACAATTTGTGGCACTAGGCTTCCCTCTTTATAGTCAGTAAAGATACCTCTTATCGCACTTGTGTTCGGGCAAAGTACAAATAAATTGATTACATCACAGCTTTGATTTGACTTGACCTCATCTGATCACTTTGTTTGACAGTGTTCAGAAAAGATCCAGACTAGAAGGTCCTGGTTGAATCTGACTTTGTCCAATCTCAAAGGTACATCTGTAGGATGGGAGGGGTGGGGCCTGGCCAGGGTCTCAGGATACCAGCAGCTCCAACGGGGGGAAGGGAAAGCAGAAGGTTCCACCCCAGGTAAGAGGGAGAGCTTGAGCCTGAAAACGAGGTGATGTGAGGCCCCGAACAAGGCCTGAGAACACGTTCACAACGAGAGCCCACATCATGTCTCTAGGACAAAGTAATACTTAGATCCCTCAAGTAGTCACCTTTCATGTCAAAAATATATTTTGCTATATGTCCTTACTGTGATTTTTTTTTTCTTACTGTGATTTTTAATATTTATGCTATGGGCTGTGCCATAATTTATTTAAGTTATACCTGGACATTTAAGTTATTCTTTGATTTTGCACTATTTACACATTAATGTTGTAAGGACCATCCTTTGGGTCCCTCTGTGATTATGGTCCTCCTTAAATGAGGATAGAGTGGGGAAATGAACCTGGAATATGAGTCTAAATCTGTCTGATCTCAAAGCCATACTCAGAATCACTTTTCCTGTCTGTATGAGATATGGTAAAAGCTTCTCTTCTATTTATTTCTTTGTGTTTAACCCATTTAACAAAAGTACAAGAGAACAAATTCACTTTTTTTAAAAAAATACATTTTATTGATTTTTTTACAGAGAGGAAGGGAGAGGGATAATCAGAAACATCGATGAGAGAGAATCATCGATCAGCTGCCTCCTGCACACCCCCCACTGGGGATATGCCCGCAGCCAAGGTACATGCCTTTGACCGGAATCGAACCCGCAACCCTTGAGTCCACAGGCCGACACTCTATCCACTGAGCCAAACCAGCCAGGGCACAAATTCACTTTTATTTACTTTTCAATAAGTTTAAATCCTAGAGCATTACACGGATTCTGTGTCCCAACAGGCTTAGCAGAGAGGTTGCTTCAGAATTGGGCAGGAGCCACGCCAGTTTCCATGAGCAGAGTTCCTTTCCACAGATGACTCTGGCTTGCTTTGGTTTGCCACCAGGAGTCACTGTTCTTAGCTGTACACATAAGCACATCTCTTGCCTAGATAATATTCTTGAGCATAAACACCTACAGTTTTAGGAAGAGCTGTGTGTGCCGCCTGGTTCCAGAAACCCTGCTCGTAGCCAGCAAAAATGGCCTTGGACCATAGCCTTCCAGACATATTTGTCATTTTAGAAGTCCTGTTCCCAGCAGACTTCCTCAGGCTCCAAGATGGTGGAGATAGATAAAAGCTTCTCTTTTTATATATTTTTATTTTTGAGAAAGAGAGGAGAGGGAGGGAGACACATCAATGTGAAAATGAAATATTGGTCGGCTGCCTCCTGCATTGCCGCCAACCTGGGATCTTTCCTGCAGTCCAAGCAGGTGCTCTGACTGGGAGTCAAACAGCACCTTTTGGTGCACAGAATGACACCCAACCAGTTGAGCCACACCAGCCAGGGCCAAAAGCTTTTCTTTTATGTTCAGTTCACTCTTTATACTTCTCCCTAGTTCTTCCAGAAGGCAGCACTGAATGTGCGAGACAACGTTGGGGAAGAAGTGGATGCAGAGCAGCTGATCCAGGAGGCCTGTCGTAGCTGCCTGGAGCAGGTGAGACCAAATAGGACCAGAGATGTAGGCACAGGGCTTGGCCCTGGGATCACCACTAAGAAGTGTGATCCCGTCCTCAGTGGGGGATGCTGGAGAAGCCACTTACTTCCAGGGAGGGCTTGGCAGTGTTGCTGACAGACGGGGAGGAAAATCGTTACTTTATGCCAGGTATTGTGATAAATGTTTTCATATCATTTGTTCATTTACATCTCAGAAGAAACTCTTTATGGAAGACATATTTTAATCCCTAATTTACAGATGAAGAAATTGTGGCTTAGAACAAGCAAGAGTTAGAATAGCTGAGGCCCATCTTACCTCTGCAAGTACTTGGGACTTGATCCTTGAAGTTGTCACAGCCCCTGGGAACTATCACCTTTTCTGCCTCCCTGCCTCTCAGGGTGTGGTCAGGAGGCATGACATCAGGTTTATAAATGGCTGTGTTCCCAAGATAGTAGTGAACCTGTTTGCATGTGTCAGCTGCTGTTATTAATAGAAATTGTCAGCATCACCCAGACTCTGCTTGACTGAAACCATTAGCTGTCAGAGATGGAAATTTCTTCATAATCAAAGCCACAAAGGCTGGTTTAAGTTCATGTCTATAAGGGTAATTATCATAAGAAGAGTGGCTGGCAAAAAAAAAAAAAGAAGAAGAAGAAGAAGAAGAAGAAGAGGATTGGCTGGCTAGCTGCTCATGCACAGCCTCGGAAAAAGAGCAACATCAGAGCCTGGGCCTCAGCTCTGAAAAGGCAGAAGAACTCCGTGCTGTCAGTGAGAGCTTACTCGCTTCTTGGTGGCATTTGTCACAGTGAATCATGTTATGTTTCTTAGAACGCTCCTCTCTTGGCTCCAGCCTCATTGACCATACCCCCTCAGCTTCCTGGGCCAGCTCCTCTTCTCTACCTGACCTCTGGCTATTGGTGCACTCCTGAGTCCAGTCCTCGGACCCCTTCTCTTCTGTGGCCCATTCTCATTCTGGGCTTTGAAGCCTAAAAATTTAACTGCTGATGATTCCCAAATGTATGTCTCAGCCCTGAGCTACTTCCTCCATTCTATTCTCACAGCATCCAGATCCATCCTTTTAAAGATGAATCAAATTGTCTCACTCTGCTCTTTTTTTTTAAATATATTTTATTGATTTTTTACAGAGAGGAGGAAAGAGGTATAGAGAGTTAGAAACATCAATGAGAGAGAAATATCAATCAGCTGCCTCCTGCACACTCCAAACTGGGGATGTGCCCGCAACCAAGGTACATGCCCTTGACCGGAATCGAACCTGGGACCTTTCAGTCCGCAGGCCGACGCTCTATCCACTGAGCCAAATCGGCTAGGGCTCACTCTGCTCTTTAAAACATGTTAGTGACTTCACTTTGCAGGCAAAATAAAACCCTCATGCCTTGCCGTGACCCACAGAGCCCTATGTGGACTGGCTCCTGCCTCTTGGACGTCACCGCCTCCCACCTGCCCTATTGACTGTACTCTAGCCATACTGAACTCCTGCTTCTCCAGCACACCAACACGGGGCCTTTGCACTTGCTGCCCTCACTGCCTCACGTGCTCTTCCCTTAACTCTGCATACCTGGCTCCATCTAAAGTAGCCCCATCTCACTTCCTTCCCACCTCCAGTTACTCTCTATCACTTCACGTGTTTATTTCCACTCTTTATTTCAACTTGAAATTATTAATAGTTCGTTTGTTTATTTTCTGCCTCCCTTCCCCCCAACTCTGCTAAAATCTTGAGTTTTATAAAATTGAGGCCTGATCTTGTTCACTGCTGTATTCCTAGCCCTAGAATATGATTCTTAATATTAGTACATTAAGTATTTGTAGAATGATTGAGAGAGTGAGTAAATGAATGAATGAACAAACAAATGAGAACAAATGGCAAACAAACAAGCAGCGTTCCTGCTCTCATAGTTAAGTGGACAGGTATGAACTGTCACATGTGTGTGGAGACTTGTGCACTCTTCACTTCTGGAGGAGAAAATCACGGGGTTAATTTCGGACCTAGCGCATTGGGTCATCCATGCGTAGACACGGGCAGGCTGATGTATAAGTCTAGAGCACAAAGGGGAGGCGACAGCTGAAGATAAAAAAAATTGCAGTCATCAGTTTATAGATGTTAATTGAAGCTGTGAGCATAGATGAAAGCAGACAGAATACCTAATGAAAGAGGACAGAGTGAAAAGAACCAGATCCAGGAGGACGAGCCAGCAAAGAAGGCTAAGAGAGAGCGGCTAGAGAAATAGAAAAAACAGGGAAGTGTGGCTACAGGAGCCAGTAGAAAAGTGTTTCCGGAAGGAGGCAGTGCTCAGGGCTCTCAAGTGCTCCTCCTCATCCACACGTCAGCTCAGGCTGCCTTCTCAACAAGGCCTTCCCTGATCACCTGCTTCATGGAGCCCTCCCTTCTGGCGATTCTCTTGTCACATCTGTCTGTGGTTTTTTTTCTTGAGAGCATTTATCATGATCTGAGTCAGCTGTTTATATGTTTATTTATTGGGTTATTATTCCCATCACCCACAGAATATAAGCTACACAAAAGTAAGGACCTTACTGTGCTATTTCCTGCTGCTTCCTCAGCCAGTTACCTCCTAGGCACCTAATATTATTAAATGAAAACGGCAGCTTCCTGAGGAGTATATAGTATATCAATGCATTTAGTTAAAAAACACACATAGTATATATTTACATCGAAAAAAGTGAGGAAGAGCCCTAACCGGTTTGGCTCAGTGGATAGAGTGTCAGCCTGCGGACTGAGGGGTCCCAGGTTCGGTTCCGGTCAAGGATGTACCTTGGTTGCGGGCACATCCCCAATAGGGGGTGTGCAGGAGGCAGCTGATCGATGTTTCTCTCTCATGGATGTTTCTAACTCTCTATCTCTCTCCCTTCCTCTCTGTAAAAAAAATCAATAAAATATAAAAAGAAAAAGAAAAAAGTGAGGAAGAATTTACATTGAAATGTTAACAGTATTCTGTGGTTACTGAGATGTCAGGTTTGATTTTTTTTTTTTACATTTTCTAGTTTTTCAACAATGATCATTAATTGGGGGCGGGGGGGCGGTTAATGAATATGTGCTTATGTGCATATCCTGGAGTGCCTTTGTACTGACCATGAAACAGCTGTCACCCAGTTTGGAGTATGTCTGTAAAAATGAAGGCAGAGAGGCTTCCCACCAAAACAGTGACTGTTAACACAATCTTTTCCTTTCAGGCAAAACTACTGTTCTCAGATGGAGAAAAAGTTATACCCAGATTGACCCATGAGCTTCCAGGGATAAAGGTCAGAGTCACTGTCCTGGGGCTTAAAAGGGGACAATGACCAGACTGGGAGGCAGGGGCATTCCATGTGCCACCCATTTGTAGGACCAGGTCCAAATAGCATCCTGCTGGGAGGGTTTCTGAGGCCTGACTCAGGGAGGGGGTGGAGGGGGTGGTCCAGGGGCCCTGTCTTCTGCAATCCCAAGGAACCTGCAGCCCCCAGATACTGGCCTTCCACTGGTTCCCTTTCCTTTTTCTGCAGCGTGGTCGGCAGGCAGAAGAGGAAGGTGCCCATCGAGGAAGTCCCATTCCCAAAAAGGTAAACCATCCCTACATTTTCTGCCTGGGCAAGGCCTCAGCCCCAGGGAGGGTGGTTGGCTTCCTCAGTGCAGCCTGGGGCCTTTCTAGCATGAGAGGCAGGAACCGTGGAAACACTCGCTCTTCCTGTTCACTCTCAAGCACCATTTTGTCTCTTTGGAAAAACCATCTCCACCAGTGACCCTGGACCTGCCAATAGGGTGGGGTGGGGCTTCCACAGGGTCAGGCTCTGACAGTTGTTCTTTGTGGCAGAGGAAGGGACGGCCTCCTGGACACATCCAGTCAAATGACCGGGCAGCCCCTGGCATGGTGTGAGTAGGGACCAATAGACTGAAGGGAGGAACGGGAGGGAGTGGCCTGGAGGAAAAGCGGCCAGAGTTCTGTCCCTGTAGAAGTGAGATCTGTTTAAGTCACCATGGAGGAGGGTCACCCGGGTTTGGGGGGTAGGAAAAGAAAGCAGCAAGGAGGAGGGTGTTTTATCCTGCTTTTGCCCCAGAACAGTTCAGCCAGCTTCATTAAACACCAGACTTTCTTTGTTGGTGGTATATATTGAATGTTTATAATGTGCCATAACTGGTCTAAACTCCTTACATATGTACTTTTTAATCCTTACATCCACCCTCTAATGAAGGTATAATTAATTTTGCAGATAAGGAAATAGACTCAGAATTATTAGCCCAACATCATATAGCTTCTAAGGGGCAAAACTACTCCATTCCCTCTAGGATGGCATTTTCAAAGATTTTTAAAGCAACAGAATCATATATATTTTCCCCCCCAGAGAGAAAGGGAGAGGGAGAGAGAGAGAAACATCAATGATGAGAAAGAATCATTGATCATTTGCCTCCTGCATGCCCCCTAGTGGGGATTGAGCCCGAAACTCGGGCACGTACTCTTGACCGGAATCGAACCCAGGACCCTTCCGTCCACAGGTTGATGCTCTATCCACTGAGCCAAACCAGCTGGGGCCAGAATCTTTTTTCAAACAAAACTTTACATGGAAGCCCAATATTTAAGCAGATAAAGCCTTATTGGTCTGGTTAAAAGCGATGGGGATAGCTGGTGCCCTGGCTTAGGAGATGGAGTAGTGGTAATCATCAGACCTAGATTTGTGTCCCACCTGAGCAAGTTCATTCCTCACTAACACAATAGTATTGCTGTTGGAGTCTCCTTTTGACAGATGAGAACTGCAATTCAAAGAGGTTCTTGGACTTGATATCAGATCTAGTCCTAGGATGGCTTCTAGGCCAGTGCTTTTCTCCCCTTGTGCCTCCTCTAATGGGTTACCTGGAAGAAGTACACTCAGGGCTAAAGTGAGAGTGTGGGGGGAACTCCCGCCACCAGCATCAGACTTTCTGCCAATCCTGGACCTGAACTTAGAGAAGTCACCTTTCTTCTGTCCCCCAATCAGGTGGAAACCAAAATCCTGTGAACCAATTCGCCGAGAAGGCCCCAAGGTATGACTATGTGAGCATGGCAGCGACCTCCTTCCTAGGGGGAGACTCAGTCAAGGCTCTGGGCCCAGCAGGAGTGAAAGAGGCTGGGGTGGTGAAGGGTGTGTGCATGCCATTCCAGAGCCATCTTGTCCCTTCCCCTACCCACAATGCTGGCCTCCCAGAAGGAGCCCAAGCAGGGGTTGGAGTTAGAGGTAAACGAAGGGAAGGCTGAGTCTGCTGAAGCCTTCTCCTTGTTAAAGCTCGTGATGTTTCCAGTACTTAGTATGTGACAGGCACGGCCCTCAATCTTTACATGGCTTCTCTCATTTAATCTTTATAACAACCTCATGCAGTAAATTCTGTTACCCTTCTATAGTTGAGGAGCTTCCTTTCCTGCCAACTCCCTGTGGGCAGAAATTGTATTTTATTTCGTTATCTTGTGTGCTTAATACACCTGAGTGTATACTAAGGCTTAGGGACTTGCTCACAGTCACATACAGTAAGTGGTAGAGCCAAGTCTCAAACATAAGATCCGTCAACACCAGAGTTTGTGTTGTTAACCGTTAGCCTCTGTTGCCTTCGGAACATTGTTTACAGCCCTTTAGCAGTAGAATCCTCTCTCTACTTAAAATCACATGTGGAAGCCAGGAAGGTCGGTGAAAGCTCCACTGACCTGGTTGAGGCTGCCAGTATGAATGGCCCACCTCTTGTCGTGCTGGCCCTTTCCCTTCACACAGCGACCACACCTTTCTTCTAAAACTCTGCTCCCTTAAAGCAGGCGGTCCTGCCTTCTCCTGGGTCTTTGTTCCTCCCGAACATCTTTCTCTCTTTTGGGAGTTCTTGCAATGACCCGTACAAAGGGCATTCCCCAAGTTCCCTCCTTGGCCCACTTCTCCGTCTAGTTCCTCTCTGGGTGATCTAAATAGTTCACTCCTGTGGTTTCAAGGACCAGTGTACTAAACCTGCCGTACTTCTTGGTTTGTCCCACACTCCCTTTCTAGTTTAAAACTTGTATATCCCACTACCTACTAGATCTCCCTGCCTGGAATTTCCGTGGCATTTCAAACTCAGATATCCAAAATGGATATCAGAGTCTTTCTTCAGCTGTCTTTTATGGTCTCTACTTTAGTCATCTTTGCCTCTTCCTCTCCTTCCACCCTGGATGCTTCCACCTCCTCAATATATCACAGTTGCTATTCCCTCCTCTTCATCCTTACTGCTGTCCTGGCTCAGGCCCTCATCTTCCTTCAGAACTGAGCTGTCCCCCTGCCTGCCGTCTGCCCTTCACATCCAGAAGCCGCACTGCAGAAGAGTGAGCTCCTCCGTGCAGAGGCCCTCAGTGACTCCCCATAGCCTCCAGAATGAGCAAATGTACTAGGGCCTTCAGCCCTCTCTGCTTCTCTCCCCAGCCTCATTAATTGCCACGCCCTAATTTGTGCTCTCTCTTTTAGCAACACAGAATGATTTATAGTCTCTCCAGGTTCCCACACCAGCGCTCACCTGCCTTTCTTCCTCCCAGCTACCCTGTCTAACTTGTGCTCATCCTTCCAGAATCAGCTTGCCAATTACCTCTTTAAGGAAGCCTTCTTGTTTTCCTTCTCTTTGGCACCCCTCCCTCCTACACTCGCCTGTATATCATTGCCCATCTCATGATGGTATAATTATCTATACTAAGCACGTCAAATTCACGGCCCACAGGCCGCATGCCTCGTTTATTTGGCCTGTGTTAGCCTTTGAGTTTGACATGCTTGATCTATACACATAAGTCTGTAGACCCTGAAAAACAGAAACTATCTTACTTATCTCTTTATCCCCAATATCTAGCACAGGGCCTAGCATAGTGTAAATATTCAGTTTCTTGAATCAACTCTTTTGAATAATGGAATAAGTGTGGTGTTGGTAGACGGGAGGGAGAGGAATGTTTCTTTCCTGCCCATCAGATAAACCTCACCCTCACCAGCCTGTCTATTTTTTGCGTAGTGGGACCCAGCTCGGCTGAATGAATCTACCACCTTTGTGTTAGGATCTCGAGCCAATAAGTAAGTCTTAGAGCTTTGGCACTGAGGGAAGGAGTCCACCCCTAGGACTACAACTGCTGGAATCCTTACACTTGTCTATTATATTTCAGAGCCCTGGGGATGGGGGGCACCAGAGGGAGAATCTACATCAAGCACCCACACCTCTTTAAGGTAGGTGAGAGCTGGGGGTCAGGCAGGCCATTGCAGGGGAATATGTGACATTGGGAACTGTACACGGCACAGAGAAGCTTGGGGCAAATACCGATCTGGGAGTCAAGGCATCTGGGTTCTAGTTGCCCTCGACCTTTACCTTTTATAATTTATATAACAACTCTGTGCCTCAATAATAGCTTCTTGTCTTGTGTGTTTATTGTGTACCAAACCTGGTTTTAGGTGCCACACTTACATTATGGAACTTCCTTTAAGATGGAATGGCTGAGAAAGGCTAAGTGACTTGCTCCGAATCACTCAGTAGTAATTAGTGAGTCAGGTCTGTCCTCAGCAAAACCTGAGCTCTTGTGCATGTTATTAAACTAGGTCTCCCTCATTTTTTTTTTTTTATTTATCGTTAATCCTCATCTGAGGATATTTTACCATTGATTTTTTTTTTCTTTTAAGAAAGTGGAAGGGAGTGCAGGAGGGGGAGAGAGAGAAACATTGATGTGAAAGAGAGACATCGATTAGTTGCCTCCGAACGAGCCCTGACCAGGGCAGAGATCAAACCTGCTACCCTTGCCGAAACCGGTTTGGCTCAGTGGATAGAGCGTCGGCTTGCGGACTGAAGGGTCCCGGGTTCGATTCCGGTCAAGGGCATGTACATGGGTTGCGGGCACATCCCCAGTGGGGAGTGTGCAGGAGGCAGCTGATCGATCATCGATGTTTCTAACTCTATCTCTCTACCTTCCTCTCTGTAAAAAATCAATAAAATATATTTTAAAAAAAAAAAAAAACCTGCTACCCTTGACTGGGAATCAAACCCATGACCCTTAGGTGCACAAGCCAGGGCTCCTTCCTTTCATCATAATGGCTGTATAGAATTCATAGAATAAATATTCCATCATTTATTTCACTACTCCCCTGTTGTTAGATATTTAAGTTTTTTCCAACAGTTGCTATCATAAACAATGCTGCACAAAACAAACTTGTGTACATGTATGGGTGATTCTGAAGGGTAAATCCCTGGAAATGGGATTTTTCTGGGTCAGAAAATGCACACTTTTAAGTTTTTGACTAATGTTTATATTATACTAGAGGCCCGGTGCACAACATTGGTGCACTGGAGGGATGGGGGTCCCTCAGCCTGGTCTGCACCCTCTCACAGTCCGGGACTCCTCGGGGGATGTCCCTTCAGGGAGCGGGCCTAAGCCAGCAGTTGGACATACCCTGAGGCAGGTCCTTAGTGCTGCTGCAGAGGCGAGAGAAGCTCCCACTACTGCACTTGTCAGCCATGAGCCTGGCTTCTGGCTGAGTGGCCACCAGGGGGCAGCTCCTGCATTGAGCGTCTGCCCTCTAGTGGTTAGTGCACGTCATAGTGACCAGTCTTCTACTGTTCGGTTGATTTGCATATTAGCCTTTTATTATATAGGATGGGAGGTGAAATAATTATTCAAACTCAAAGTTAGTAACCATACAGATTTCCCAGTTGGTCTCTATTTCAAATGTTCTGCCTGTTTTATAAAACCTATCTATATTGAGCACTTATTATGTGTCAGATACTAACTATGTTTAGCACTTTATTAAAGCTGGGGACAGTGAAACAAGAAAGGGCTGGGAAATGAGCCTAGGATGGGCTTCTTTGGCTCACTAAGAAGTCAGAGAAAAGGGGGCTTTGGGGTAGGTTTAGGGGGTTTGCCCAGGATGAATTGCCACTGACCATTGTTGCCCTAATTGCAAGCCTCGTGGGGTCCCTTAAAGTTTAGGAGATGAATCCCTGTGGGGAAAGAAAGGGGGAAGGCTTGGGCATGCAAGCAGGCCCATTTTACTTATTCTTAACAACAACCCTATAAGTATTAATACTGTCTTTTTTACAGATGAAGAAACTGAGTCGCAAGGAAATTACTGCCCAGGTTTATACTGTCTAATAAGTGGCAGAAACCAGACTTTAAACCTTTTTTGTCTAATTCCAAAACCAGGTTCTTACATGTGATGCTATCCTTCCTTCCCCTGAGCATGAAGTGTCCTGGTTTTTGTTTTAGGAAATATGGTCACCGTAATAGTCATATGTTATAAGCTTCCTCAAATCATTATTTCAGAGAGGAGTAGAGCTCTATACCGTTGCCTGAGATGCTGTGTATTGAGAAACAAAGGGGTTGGGGAATTAGATGGTAACTAAATCTCTGGAAATTGTGTCCCGCTCCTGGTTTCCTGGGCTCAACTGCACTTTTTCTGAAGAGGTTGGTGAGCCCTCTGCATCCACCCAGCTAGGACAAGGTCTTGTTCATAAGAACTCAAGGGCCCGGAGTATGATCTGGGAGCAAATAAGGAAAGCCCCTCACACCAGGCTAATGTCTCCTGTGACTTCATCCCTCAGTACGCAGCTGATCCCCAGGACAAGCACTGGCTGGCCGAGCAACATCACATGCGGGCAACAGGAGGGAAGATGGTGAGCACTGTTCCCTCGTGCCACTGCCATAGACCCACACAGCCCAGGGTTCTGGCTATTGGTGGCAGCTTACTTCCAAATCTGAGAGATTCTCAAAGCCTGATGAGTGTAGAAAGGCAGGCATGTAAGGGCAGAGAGGGCCTGGTCCTTCGTGCTGAACAGCAGGCTGGAATCCCTGGATTTCCTTTGCTGTCTCGCACACAGCAACCCCTCAGCCCCTCCTCACCTCATTCCCCATTCATAGCTTTTATTAGCTAAGCAGAAGAATGGCAGGTACAAGACACACTACTACTTCTCCCTTGTGCCTGTTGACAGATTACACTCATCAATCACAACATTCTGCACCTGGCACCATTAAAGAATCTTTTCTCAACACAGTGCTTAGTTCCTCTGGGGGGATTGCTCCTATTAGAATCTAATGGCCTTGCAAACCAGTATGCCATCTCCTTTCTGGTATTGAAAGCTGTCTTTTATTTTACTGCTATATTTAGACCTACACCCTGTCTCAAAAAATAGGTGAGGGGGAGACAGGATCTAAAATTAGGCCATGAGCAAGAATAGTTTTTTGTTTTGCTTTGTTTTTATTGCTGGCTTGGGAGGCCAGTGCACTTCTGGATTTCCAGCTCTAGGCCCCTCTCAAGAACACCTGGTCTGTTACAAAGTTTGCAGTGTCCTTAAGGTGACAGTCAAATGACCCAAGGGACACACAAGTAATTATTCCTGACCCTAAGACTAGAAAGACATGTCTCCCACAGAAGACTTTTTTATATGATGAGCAACATCCTCTGTATGGGAAGCTCACAAGAGGGCTCTCGCCCACTGCAGCCCATGGCATTGTACCAGCAGCTTTACAGGCCCCAAGGCAATACAGCCCAGTTACTAGACAGTTTTCCCTTCTGCCACAAAGTTCAAAACCAAGTAATCTTGGTTCCCAGAGTTAACATAGCTTCCTCCAGTTTCCATTTTGCCTGTATATTTCACTAGCTCTCTTGCCATTTTGTTATTAAGTACCTTGGGATCATTTTTTATTTTTTGAAATGTGATGAGAATGTCACCATTATTATCCACCATGGTCACTATCCTTGGACATTGATTGTTTTATATGTTTTTCTTTAAATTTATTTCAGAGAGAGGAAGGGAGGGAGAGAGAGAAAAACATCAATGATGAAAGAAAAACATCAATGGGCTGCCTCCTGCACGCCCCCTATTGGGGATCAAGCCCACAACAGGGTATTTGCCCTGTCTCGGAATTGAACTGTGACCTCCTGGTTCATAGGTCCACCCTCAACCACTGAGCCACACCCAGCCAGGATCAGGGTCCTTTTTTAAAAGAGGAGAAAGTTATAGTCACCAGTCTCCACTCCCCAACCCATAGTTCCTATTTGAGTGAAAGATTGCCTCAAGGAACTGTTCTCCAGACAGTCCCTATTTACTCTCCCCTACTAAGTTATAACTATGCCCCCAGCCCTTACAGTAAGCAAATGTTTAATAACGTGTGGTTGAGTTACACAGAAATGAATCAAAGATGACGATCACTCTCCTTTGCTCCTGGTCCAGGCCTACCTCCTCATTGAAGAGGACATCCGGGACCTCGCTGCCAGCGATGATTACAGGTAAATCCAGATCTGTCCCCTACTCACTCCCCTGCCTTACAGTACCCCCAGGATGAGCTGGGGCCTACATCCTGTCTTCAACTTTTTTCCTCAATGTCTTTGTCAGAGGATGCCTGGACCTGAAGTTAGAGGAGCTGAAATCCTTTGTCCTACCCTCCTGGATCGTTGAGAAGATGCGAAAGTACATGGAGACTCAACGGACAGAGAATGAGCATCGTGCAGTTGAAGCACCTGCACAGACCTGAAGCCAGGTGGCCTGGCCACACTAGGCAGCCTTCCTCCTGACCCTCATTCCCTGTGGCCAAGGCCACCACTGAGACTGCTCCCAGATGGATGATAAGCGGCATTAAGCTGTGCCTCACAGGGGTGATTCACTACAGGGCATCCCCAGACTGGCATGTACTTCTATATTTGTAAAGTCATTAGGATAAGAAGCAATTAAACAGTTTGTAATAAACACAGATGATGAGCCTGCTGTGTGTTCTGCCTTGCAGGGGCTGACAAAACATCAAGGACTCTAGAAGTGGGTAGCGGAAAGGGCCAGGTACCCTCTCCCACCCCAGGTTAGACCCCGGAAGGTCCTGCTGCCCTTCGTGCTTCATGAGATGACCCCGGGAATACCTTGCACACCTCCCTGTCCCTGTTTCTTATTTCTTCACCCAACTGAGGCATGGAAGTAGCAGAATGTAAGGGGTGGCACCATGGTGGGTTCATGACAGACCAGAAGAAAATGCGGAGTGGCTTTCATTACCCCCATTTTATAGGTTAAAACACTAAATTATGTAGAAAGGCAGCATATGAACCTGTTTTCTAATAGGGAGTCCACTGCTAGATTGCCATCAGCCTCAAGTTGTTCCCCTCGCCATGGGCCCAGGACATAAATGGGAGGGAGGCAGGGGTTCCGGGTTCCAGGAAGGGTACCAGGCAAGATTAGAGGCCCTCTCTCGGTAGGGTTCCGGGCTGGGAGTGCTGGGAGTTGTGGCCCGTAACCCGGGTTCCGGACTGGGAGTGCTGGGAGTTGTGGCCCGTAACCCGGGTTCCGGACTGGGAGTGCTGGGAGTTGTGGCCCGTAACCCGGCGATTGACCTAAGGGGTACGTCCCACGTGGCTTTTTCTTAGCCCTTTAATGGTCGCCGTTTTCCAAAAGCCACCAATCCACTGCAGACTCGCTTTAATGGCAGCCTCCCTAGCCAATCGCCCGTCGGAATCAGGATTCCCGCGGCTCGGGAGTGGTGCGCTGGGGGGTGCGTCTAGCAGTTTCACCGTGACGGCCCTCGGAGCGCTCCATTGGCTGGATCAAACCCAAGCGAGTCTCTGATTGGCCAGCGCTGCCGGAGCGTTCAATTCAAATGCGGGCGGGTGGGCCCGCAGCCTTGCAGTTACTGTCGAGTCCTCCGAGTTCCCGTCGCCGCCAGCGCTGCCCGGATGGCCTCCCAAAACCGCGACCCAGCCGCCGCCAGCGTCGCCGCAGCTCGTAAAGGAGCCGAGCCCAGCGGGGGCGCCGCCCGGGGCCCGGTGGGCAAGAGGTGAGTGGTGCGGCGGGGAGGCTCGGCCTGGTACCCCCGGGCCGGTGGGCCCAGAGCGCAGGCTTCCGGAGTGACTGAGATATGGGAAGTTGGGGGGCACGCTAGGAGCTCGGGCCGCCCCTAGAGACCCCCCAAAGGAGGGTGGGAATTTCGAGGTCTGGGCACGGGAGGAGCGCCGGAGGAGCAGTGGGGGCTCCGAGCGCTAGAACAGCGCCGGAGGAGCCGGAGAGCGGAGCTCGCCAGGCCTCCCGTGGGAGTGGGGGTGGGGGGTGCCCCGAGCGGAGCTCGCCTCAGCGAGGGGATCCTGGCAGCTCCTCCGGAGACATGGCGGGGAGGGGATGGACCCGCTGAGCCCTGGCCCATCCGGACTCCCAGGTGACTCCAGACGCTCTGTCCGCAGGTTACAGCAGGAGCTGATGACCCTCATGGTGAGTGGCCGCCCGCCCGGATGCCCAGCCAGTTGGTCCACCTGCCACTTCGCACTCCTCCCTCAGTGGCCTCCTTCCCCACCTCACGCTCTTTGCTAGACACGGAGTGAAGGGGTAAAACAATGAGTACAGCCTCCTCCCTTCTGGGAACTAGCTCATATACCTCACCGACACCTTTTTCCCAGCAGTCCCCACTCCTAACCCCCTCTCCCACAATGAAATTGTCTCTAAAATCGGTTCCCTGAAGCCCTAGGAGGCCTCGCCCTATTTCCCTGCCCTAAGCTTTAACTCCGCCCAGCTCTCCACCCTCCTCAGTGTGTCCACCCGCCCTTCCTGGAGATGCTTCCATCCTAGGTGTCCTTTCTCCACATCGAACCCTGAATATTCCACGCAAATCCTTGTATGTCTCGCTCCCTAGTCCAGCAGGCTTTGCACAGGTAGAACTGGCACTCAGTCCCACGGTGAATGGAATTCCCAGCAACCAACAAGGCTGGGGGCAGGGAGCCTTCTGCTCCCCTGCAAAACCCCTCCCTCCCGCTGTAACCCCCACACTCCTCCCCAGGGGGCATGCTCAGCCCCCAGGAGCCTAAGCACTTGCTCAGGAAAGCCTGTCACTTTGGTCTGAGGCCTTATTTTGGATCAGAATGTGATGGGGTAAGGGTTTGCCCATTGTGCCAGAAGTGTTATCCTGAGAGCTCTGTGTTTCCTCCCCAGACGTCTGGCGACAAAGGGATTTCTGCCTTCCCTGAATCAGACAATCTCTTCAAATGGGTGGGGACCATCCATGGAGCAGCTGGCACAGTGAGTGTGGGGTTGGGTAGGGGAGTGTGATGCTGGGTCTGGGGAGAGGTGGGAGGTGAAATCATGCGCCATATCTGCTTCCAGCCGTTAGGCCTGCGGGGCTCGCCCCTCTGCTCTGAGCCTTCGGTCCTGGTCCACCCTTCTGTACAGCAAGAAGGTGGCTTTAAAGCAAGGTTGTCCATCTTAGATTCTCGGGGGGCCAGACAGCAAGGAAAAGAATGGAGGACAAGTGAGGACTTTGGCCAATGAGAGGGCACAAGTCACATGACAGCAGCTTCCCGTTGCTGTTTATCTGGTTTAAGAGAAGTCAGGACTTCAAATCTGCCCCAAATCTCCCAATTTTTACATGTTAGCAACTAATATTCTAATTGGACTAAAAAGCAAGCTGTGGTAACCCACAGGGCACCAATTTACAACCCTTGGACCAAAGGATCCCTGATGTCCCCACCAGATGAGAGAAATGACCAGAACCAGCATAGGAGTTTGTCTTCTGTCAAGTCCTAGAAAAGCTAAAAGGTCCTAGCAAGGTCTTTATGTGGGGCTTGGGCTGGAATATGAGGTTCAGGGTGGCAAGCTTACTCCCACCTCTTTCTCCAATGCCAGGTATATGAAGACTTGAGGTATAAACTCTCCCTAGAGTTCCCCAGTGGCTACCCGTACAATGCACCCACGGTGAAATTCCTCACGCCCTGCTACCACCCCAACGTAGACACCCAGGGTAACATCTGCCTGGACATCCTAAAGGACAAGTGGTCTGCCCTGTATGACGTCAGGACCATCCTGCTCTCCATCCAGAGCCTGCTAGGAGGTGACTACTTTTTTTTTTTGTAATATATTTTATTGATTTTTTTACAGAGAGGAAGGGAGAGGGATAGAGAGTTAGAAACATCCATGAGAGAGAAACATCCATCAGTGGCCTCCTGCACACCCCCTACTGGGGATGTGCCCGCAACCAAGGTACATGCCCTTGACCGGAATCGAACCTGGGACTGGTCAGGGCTAGGAGGTGACTAGTCCTCCTCCCCCTGCAACCGGGGAACCTGTCAGGACTCCCCCAGGCAGCCTCGTCTACCCCCTTGACCAATCTTGTTCTCTTCATCCACAGAACCCAACATCGACAGCCCGTTGAACACACATGCTGCAGAGCTCTGGAAAAACCCCACAGGTGGGTCCTTCCTCCGCCACTAGGTGACACCTCCCCAACCTTGAAAGTCTCCCTCAAAAAGGATTTCGGTGACCTGGGAAGCCATTCCTACCTCTGCCTTGGTGTTTCTGCTTTGCCTGCTTGATATAAAATCAGAAAATTGATGTGGGTTGAGGGACTTTAAAAAAAAATTTTAATACTCACCTAAGGATTTTTTTTTTTCATTGATTTTTCAGAGAGCAGAAAAGGGATGGGGGGTGGGGGGCGGGACAGAGAGACAGAAAAACATCAATGTGAGAGAGACACATAGATGGGTTGCCTCCTGACGGGCTGGGTATCAAGCCTGCAATCCAGATACCTGCCCTTGACTGGGAATCTGGGACCCTTTGGTGCACAGGCCAACGCTCTAACCACTGAGACCCTGGCCAGGGCAGGTTGAGGGGCCTTATAAATAGAAGGCAAAGCTTTGTGCAAATGACTTGATCACTAAGGCCCCCTGGTCCCCTCCCCAGTGTCACAGGAAGCAGAGTCCATCCAGGAGATCTGACTGGGTGGGCAACAGAGGGAGAATCTGTTCTGGGAACTCCCCAAATTCCACCCCGCTTTGCATCCCTGCTGCCCTTCTCCCCATCACTCACCAAGATCTGTCTGTTCTCTTCAGCCTTCAAGAAGTACCTACAGGAAAACTACGCAAAGCAGGTCTCCAGCCAAGAGCCCTGACCTGGGCTGTCCAGCCTGTCTCCTTGTGCTGTCTTTTTACTTTTTCCTTGGATGGTCTGTCCTTGCCTTGATTTCTGTTTAGGACTCTATCTTCAGCTGTGGTGTCATATTTGTTTTGTGTCTGTTTTTTTAAATTAAGTCTCTGGTTGAGCCCCTGTGATGAATATATTAAATAAATACATTTTGAATTTTGTGAGTGCTTTCTCTTTTTTTACAAGTTTCTGCCTTGTAATTACCCTAGAGTTGGGGCAGAGTCAGGCTCCTAGGATCTGGGCTCATGGCCCTGCTCCTCTCTCCAGGGAGAAGCGTTTGTCCTTCAGGATGTCCAGGGTGTAGGGCCAAGCAGTGGAGTGACTAGGATTTGTTCCTTTGTGACCTTAGTTTATGTCTCTACATATATTTCCTCGTCTATAAAATGGGTGTCACAAAATGCTTATTTCTTTGGAGTTGTGACATGCACTAGGAATGTTAGTGACTATTGGGGCTGCCCTAGATGTGTTGCAGATGAGGCTGAACCAGTCTGGGGGTGGGGTGCAGAGGACCAGCCACCTACCTTATGACAGTAGATGCTCTGCCCCTGAAAAAGAAGGCTCAAGTCACCCCACAGCAAGCCCAGGATCTGGAGAGGCAGCCACAGAAAGCCCCTTCCCTGTCAGAGCACTCAGGACAGCTCCTGACTCACAGATGGCTCCCATGCTCCAAGGGGGCTCATTCCCCTCCAGCTACTCTATCCAGTGGCCCAGCCCCTCAGGCCATCCTTCCACTGGCCTATGGACCCCTGGCCAGCTAGGACCCAGCAAAGGGAAGGAGGAGCTGAGGTGATGGATATGGCCCAGATCCTGCAAGAAGATCAAGAGGACAGAGCATCCGGTGTGCTCCAACATGGCCCAGGTCTCCGCCTCACCCAAACGGATCAGCTCTGCCTGCAGCTGCTTGTGCAGGCCTGGGGGAGAGGACAACAGGGAGGCCCTTCTGGCAGCACAGTTATCACCTGGATTTTGTTAGAAATGCACATTCTTGGCTCTCACCCACCCCTTTTCTTACTCCTGCTATCCCAGCCTCCTTTCTGCCCTCTAACCCCACCAAGCCACGTGTGAGAGTTGTCAGTGCTGGTAGAACTTGGTGTCCTCACTCAGTCTCAGTTTCCTTATCTCTAAAATTGTGCTCCTAGCTCTTTAAAATACATTGTTATTGATTTCAGAGAAGGAAGAGGGAGAAATAGAAACAAATGATGAGAGAGAATCAATTGGCTGCCTCCTGCACGCCCCCCACTGGGGATCGAGCCCACAACCCGAGCATATGCCTTTGACCAAGAATCAACTGGTGACCTCTTGGTTCCTGGGTTCCACTCAACCACCGAGCCACGCCTGGCTGGGCCAAGTGCAAATTTTTATTTAGTTGGTCTGGAGGAAGGCTTGAGCTTCTACATTTCTCATCAGTTCCCAAGTGCTGTCATTGCTGTGGTCTAGCTCAGCGTATAGAGCAGTGTTCTCCAGGAGTCTTGGCAGCACAGTTATCACCTGGAATTTGTTAGAAATACAAATTCTTGGTCCCAACAATCTCTCCTGGTGATTCTAATGCTCTCCAACTAGCAAATCACTCGGTTAGAGGATGTCTGAGAAGAGCGGAGCTCAGAACCTGGCACTAAGATGGTCCTTAGTCAATGCTGGCCAAGGTGTGTGTATTTTTTAAAAATTTTTGATCCTCACCTGAGAACATGTTGAGAGAGAAAGATGAAGAGAGAGAGAGAGAAACAGCTGTATGTGCCTCAACCAGGGATTGAACCCCAACCCAGGTATGTGCCTTGACCGGAATCAAACCAGCAACTTTTTGGCACTCAACCCAATGAGCCATTCAGCTGAGCAAGGTGGACATATTTTTGCCTGCCTTGGGAAGCCTCCCCATCTGGTGCCTGATTGCCGTGTTTGGTCCCCCAGATGGTCACGTGGCCTTACCTTGCGACAGTCACAAGGCCCCAGCTCTACACTGTAGTTCAGGACCAATCAGTGTTCCCTGGAATTATCACTAGAAGAAAGTGAAATTATTTCACCTATTAGGTTGCTAAAAAAGGAGGGAGCCAGCCGGAGTTGCTTGTGGAGACAGCTGCAGGTGCAAGAAAACCAAGCAGAGACAAAGACCTGAGAGATGGAGAGAGGTGACATTGAGACTCCAGCCTCCAGCTCATACCTTGGCATCTCAGTTACATGAACCAACAAATCCCTTTTTGGTGTAAGTCAGTTTGATTTAGATTGTTTACACTTTCAACAAGAAGCCTAGTACAGTTAGTCCAGGTATATTGACCTTTTGGCTCTTTGAGCAGCACCATGGCAGTGAGAAAGAACAAGTGCCTTACAAAAGGCAGCAAGAAGTTTGGAGCCAAGAAGAAAATGGCTGATTGATTTTCTAAGAAAGACTGATATGATGTGAAACACCAGCTATATTCAATATAAGAAATATTGGAAAAACACTAGTCAGGAGAATTCAAGGAACCAAAATCACATCTGATGGTCTCAAGGTCCATGTTTTTGAAGTGAGCCTAGCTCAGTGGTCGGCAAACTCATAAGTCAACAGAGCCAAATATCAACAGTACAACGATTGAAATATCTTTTGAGAGCCAAATTTTTTAAACTTAAATTATATAGGTAGGTACACTGTTACTAACTTAATTAGGATACTTCTAAGGCTTAGGAAGAGCCACACTCAAGGGGCCAAAGAGCCGCAGTTTGCCGACCACTGATCAGCTAGGCCCTAGCTGATCATGGATCTTACCTGTGACAAAATGTGCTCCATGGTCAAAAATGGCAGACCATGATTGAAGCCCATGTTGATGTCAAGACTACTGATGGTTATTTGCTCCATCTATTCAGTATTGGTTTTACCAAAGAATGCAAAGTCATACTAGGAAGCCTCTTATAAGAGCTCAGCATTAACTGCTCTGCCAAATCCAAAAGATGCTGGAAATCATGACCCGAGAGATGCAGACAAATGACTTTAAAAAAGTGGTCAATAAATTGATCCCAGATATTGGAAAAGTCAGAAAAGCCTTGTCAATTTGTCTGCTCCATGATGTCTGTTTAGGGCCAAAGAGCCGCAGTTTGCCGACCACTGATCAGCTAGGCCCTAGCTGATCATGGATCTTACCTGTGACAAAATGTGCTCCATGGTCAAAAATGGCAGACCATGATTGAAGCCCATGTTGATGTCAAGACTACTGATGGTTATTTGCTCCATCTATTCAGTATTGGTTTTACCAAAGAATGCAAAGTCATACTAGGAAGCCTCTTATAAGAGCTCAGCATTAACTGCTCTGCCAAATCCAAAAGATGCTGGAAATCATGACCCGAGAGATGCAGACAAATGACTTTAAAAAAGTGGTCATTAGTTTTACTAAAAAACACAACAATTAGATTCAGAAGACCTCTTATGCTTAGCTCAATAAAATATATTAAAAAAAAAAGATGCTGGAAATCATGACCCGAGAGATGCAGACAAATGACTTTTAAAAAGTGGTCAATAAATTGATCCCAGATATTGGAAAAGTCAGAAAAGCCTTGTCAATTTGTCTGCTCCATGATATCTGTTAAAAAAGTCAAAATGCTGAAGAAGCCCAAGTTTGAACTGGTAAAACTCATGAAGATTCATGGTGAAGTGAGCTGATGTATTTGAACTCCAAGTCCAAGAAGCTGTTTAAAATACAGAATCCAGATATTTTATGATGACAAAATAAAAAATCCAGGCGGAGGCAGGGATCCAGGGTGGAGATGGATGATGAGGTCAGACCCTCCTTCCTGGCTGAGTCCCCACCCTCCCCTGCCATCACCAGTAGACCTAGAAGCTCTCAGAACAGACCAAGTGGCACACGTCAAGCGGGAATAAGGCTGCCTGGGATGGATGGACACCCCACTCCCCGACTCGCTTGCGCCCCAGAAAGAAGGGACAGTGGGGAGTGAAAAAGTCAACACTCCACCCCGCCCCCAGTCCAGCCTCCTGCCCCGCCTTCACCCGCGGACCGCGGCTCATCCTGACTCAGATAGAAAACCCCGCGGCCTCCTCCTTGCCTCCATTCTTTTTTTCTGCCCACGCCCAGCGCCAGCTGCGGGTGGCCGGCCGCGACCTTGCCGAGCGCGCCCAGCCAGGCGGCCCCTGACACCCGCTCCTCGGTCCTCCCCTCACTCAGGCCACGCGCTTTGCAACGTTTGCTTTTATTCCTTCCAGAAGGGGATTCGAGAAGGGGCCGCGCCACGCTCTCGGACGGGGATGACACAGTGTGGGGTAGAGCACCTACGTCCGAGGGCCGCGCGGTCTCGGCGGAGCGAGGGCCGACTCTTATTGCACGCCCTCCATCATCTTCAGGAACTCTGCGGGAGGAGGAGGAACAGGCGTCAGGGGTGCCCTCAGGGCAAGGAGCCTGCGCCGGGGTGCAGCGTCAGGCCACGCCGGGGGCGGAGGGGTGCCTTGGAGGGGAAGCGATGAATTACACGAA